AGTACAATGATGGCATGAGCGTGAAACTAAAGCGTCAACTTTTCTGAACATTGTAATAAAGGCTAAAGCAAGCTATTCAGCCAGTGTGTATCGAGTCTCTCTATTAAGCAGTGCCTTGCTCATGTAGTTAATATAACTTTTCTTCTTATTACCAATGCTATACTACTATACTAACTATATAATTTGAGACAGCTAGGTAAAGGAGAATGGTGTTTTCGGCTCAAGCTTAACCAAAATAGGTGAGTGGCAATGTATTTTTAGTTCCTAAAATGACCACATTCTTCGCCCAGTTGAAATATTTGTTACCTTTGAGTTCCTAGAAAAATTGATGACATTTTTTATCGAATCATAACAAAAAGTAATTAAGCATGATTACTAGACCTGTAAGTCTCTAGACCTTTTTCATATTCTTTGGTGTTTCCATGGTAGTAATGGCCTCTTCTTGTTAGGGTTGGATTCGATGCTTCTACTTGTGATCTTGAAGCCCAAGAACTTGCCTAAAGAGTCTCTAAATGCATGCTTCATTTGATACCATTTTAGATTGTTAAAGGCAATGTAGGATATATAGCTTGTTACACCAGAGCTCTTGATGACCAAATCTTTCACGTATGTCTCTATGTCTCTTCCAATTAGGTTAGCAAAGATGTCATTGACTAAAATTTAGTATGTTGTCCCATGTTCTTAAATCCAAATAGCATGACATCATAATAGTAGATCCCAGAGTTAGATATAAATGATGTTTTTGTTGACCATATAGATTTGGTATACTTGAAGAATATGTTCAAGAAGCTATTATTTTTGAGATACGTGTAATGGATGATTTCTTTACTTCTTATTTGCCTTTTTTGATGAGCAAAACGTTAGCAAGCCAATTAGGTATTATACCTTTAGGATGAACATTGCTCGATCAATTTCTCGACCTCATTTGTATGGCCTCTCTTCTTTCAAGTACAAACTACCTCTTTCTTCTATTTAACTAGCTTTATTTCGTTGATGACATTCAACCTGTAGATCAAAACATCAAGGCTAATTCCTAATATATCCTTGACCTTCTATGCTCTTGAGGCGTCATTAACTTATTTTGTGAGCGAACTTAAAAGATCATGCTTATTTGGCCATCTTTTTCGTTGAGGACCATCTTTTTGAGCTAATTGAAGGATAATATACATTTCCTTAGGTTGAGGTCAAGGTCTAGGACCATTCAAGGAAGGTATCCCTATATAGCGTTTTAGGCCATGGAGGTGCTGACCACTTGGGAATGAGACTATTATCATAATATACCTAGTTTCCATTTCTGGTGTGATGGGGATGTCAGTGATCCTTCTAGACTTGATTGTGGCTCTTCTGAAAACGTATAGCAACTTTTGAACTCGAAACCTTATAGTAACTTTTGAACTGGCTGTTGTAGTAGGTTCATCTTCTTGAATGTTTTCAAGGTTTATATATCACCCTAACGTCCGTTATCAATATGTATTTTATTTACTCAAAAGTTGGTTATGACAGTCAAGATGAACACTACATCATTGTGAGTGATAACTATATATATTACCAAATTCGGGAGAATTATCAACTTTAAGTTTTGAAAGTTTTTATAATAAATTCTTTGCAAAAAAGTACTTCGATAGCAAGACTTTGAGATATTAAGGAGCAAGAATTTGATACAATATGGGAGCAATACCTTTTCTTTCTTTCCTAGCAATAAATATTTGTAGAAAAATTTTCTTGTGAGATAATGACACTTTAAAAAAAGATAGGTAAGAAAAGAAAAGTTTTTACAAAAACTACCAATTTAAACACGTTTTGAAAACCAATTTTTCTTAGTAGCAATAAAAAGTCTATTAGCAATTAATTTTTTAAGACAAAAAGTTTGAAAAATTCTACACTAATTTATTTTATCTCTGTTATTAAAGTTCAATAGCTAAAAATGTCTAACTAGTTCTATTGGAATTTCTTTTATTATTTTCTCTTATAATCTTTGCTCGTTATTGTCTTTCTTTACAATCTTTAGGATCTTTTATCAAAAAACTCCGACACTAAGAGATAGTGAGCTCAGTGATTTGCTTCTTGATTTGTAAAGAAGGGTTACCTATATTTCTATTTAGAGCAGATAAAATATGACTTCGTCCAACGATTAATCTTCCTATTTCTCTATTTTCTAAACAAGTATTAATATATTCGTTAAAACTTTCAAATGAACAAATAAGTAAGACAGTGTAATCTAAAGACATAAAATATTAGAACTTTAAAACGATATGTTTGTAATGGTCTTTGAGTACTTTACCGTTCAGCAAATTCATTTCTTCAAACTTTTTTTTTATTAATTCTCTTTTAGCTTTTTTCTTGACCTTTTAAAGAAGGTTTGAGACTGTAGCCAAAAATATTTTCATCATCTTTAAAAATGCTTTAACAAATTCTCACAATTGGGACACAATTAGCCAACTTAATTTAGAGAATTACTTTATCTTTTGGTCATGGAATCCAGAATAAAGAGGCCAATAGTGTTAAAAATATATTTTTGAAACTGAAATAAAATACTATTTGTGAATAAATTAATTGCTTACTTGGTGTTTTCCCTTTTAGGCCTTACCCGAAAAATAACTAAAGTAAACAAAAATTATAAACAAGAAAAGATATGAAAAGAACTTACTTTAATTACGAAGTTTTTGAATTTACAAAGATGTCTTTGAATTTACAAAGATGGTAGAGAGATTTTTGAATACAAGTGTGATAGTGTGCTTTCTTTGGTGTGTATTTTTCTTTCGTGAGAGGTGTGTGTATTTATAGACGTTGGTACATCACGTCTATCCTATTGGTGTTATAAGTGTGCTATCAATAATTGAAAAATACTGTGCAAACTTTATAGGTGTGCGATCTAAAATCAAAGAAAAAACAAATAGTATACAATTCTCCATGTGAGTAATTAAAGAACGAATTATTTGAAAAGATGTTTCTAACAACTTTTGTCTTCACGCCTAACTTTTCTTGAAATATGGGAATCAAGTTTGCAAATGTTTGAAATATGTTCAAAAGCTTTATTTTTACGCCTCTTCATTTTGACTTCCTTGTATTGGTAATTAATTATTTGTCTTTCTATCTCTTTTTTTGATTATTTATCTGTCCATCATTTCTGCTATGGCTTCTTCTAGTTCTGGGTCCATCTCATTATCATTGCTATCAAATATATATGCTTCCTCTCCTGTATTTGATAGAGTTTTTGTAAATTCTCCATTAGTCTTTCGAAATGCCATCAAATAAAAATTCTTTTGTTCAACATTTGATACTAGAAATTTTTCTGGTTTAGTTCTTAGAGCAAGATGCTCTTGGCAGAAAATAACTTCATTGTTCCATTGAGCTTCTAATTTGAAATCATTATTTTGAACTTCCATCATTGCCGCGATTTCTGATATCCTTCTTTCATAATCAATTTGTCTAATTTTTATTTTAATAATCATCCTCGAAGAGGGTCTAAATCTTTTGGCTGCTTCATAAATTAAAATATGATGATAAGCTGAAATTACAATACCATTATTTACACGAGGGGGTATGGAAATGAATCAAATCATTAAGGGATGATCTTTTAGCTGATCAATAATCCGTTTAAGTTTCGGTGGAAAAATCAAAAAGATCTGTTTAATATGTATATAATATCTATCATTCCAAACTGTAAAGTTGGGTAAAAAAGATCTTCTTCTTCAAAAATTGTATAATCAAAGGAATTGTTGGATAATTGTGTTTAAGAAATACTGAATTTTGGCTTACATCGTATTTGGGACCATGTCTAAGGAAGTATTTGTTTTCATTGTGATAGTAACTTAAAATTTGAGTAAAATCTATAATTTCCCGTACAACGAAATTTTTTATAGAACTTCTAACAATACTGGGGCAATTATCAATTTTCTGTTCTAATTCGTATAAAGTCTTTTATTGTCTTGTAGCTGTAGAATCTGTTAGTTCAATAAGTCCTTTTATTTTATCAGAATAATTTATACTCGTAGAAGCGATGTCTTTATAAATGAGTTTTTCAAGTGTATCTCTAGAACTAAGTCTGTCTAAACTATTACGCAATTTAAGAATCTCATTTTGATATTTACTAATAGTTTGTTGGGATGAGGAAATTTGATCTTCAACGAGTTGTAGTCTTTCTTCTAAAGAGTGCTTTCTAAGATTTAAATTTTTAACAACTTTGATCATAGTTTCACAACTATCATAAAGTTGTATTGATGAAGATGATAACGAAGCTTGAGATGAGGTTTGCATGGTCTGTTTAATTCTTTCGGATATATTAAAATTAAATCATATCATTTCTCTACAAAAATTTAAAGTTTTTTCAAGCGTATAGAATTCTTTGAAAGGAGGGTCGAAAAATCTTTCTACTTGTTATAGTACTTCTGGCCAAAAGTTGGTTGCATATATTAAGTGCTTGTTTTGTGGCAATTTTCATCCAAATTTTAATGAATTATTGGACTACTAATAGTCGCAATTGTTGACTTCCCTCACACTTAAATGCAGAAGTGGGACCCATTAACGATTAAAAAAAATGAATTTTTAATCATCCAAATAGTGGAGCCGATTAGGCTCTAAAGTTAAAATTTGAAAATTAGAGTTGCGATAGTAAAATATTCTAAAATTTGAGGACTAAATATACAATTTCTAATTAACGAATTGAAGCCCCTATTTGGTCCAATTAAAAGTATGTTTGGTAAAGATTTTAATCCAATTAGCATTAATTTTTTGACTGTTATTTTACTATTTTAATTGTCATTTTTGAATTCTTCTCTCACTAGTAAGAATCACTTTATCTCTAACGGTCAAAAAATTAAATAACAAAATTCCTACAAAACAAACACTAAATCTCATCAAATTAAATTAAATTTTTCTTTCTTATTTTCAATCACGCAATCTTCAATAATATAATATTACGCATAAATCAAAAGCTTTTTATCATTTTAAAATCATCTATTTTTCAAAATAATATTATTATCCCATTTTAATCAAAATTAATTGGCGTGGGGGTGGGGAATGGGACGAAATAAGTGACCGTGACACTACGATTTAGCGACCGCCTATGAGTTTAGCAGCTCTCGCGTGTAGTTGCCGCCCTCTACTTTCAATTCCACAACCCCGAGAGAAAATCCCAGAAGCACACGCTCACAAGCTCGACGATGGAGGCAGTGGTTGTAGATGCTGGTTCTAAAATCCTTAAAGCCGGTTTTGCGGTTCCCGACCACCCTCCTTCTATGGTAATTTACCTTTCATTTCCTCATTTTTTTTTTGGTTCGCTTCCTCTATAAATAATGATTAAAAATTGACAATTTTCTGTTGGGAAGCTCGTAACTTAAGATTATCTAACAGGGGTTTCTGTTATTCTACACATTATTCGATTTCTTCTGGTTGAGTGTAATTGAAAGTTGAATCACTCTTGATTGGGGGTTTTAGAGTTTGGGTTTTTCCGGATGAATTGATTCATATTTTTCTAGGGTTTGAATTTCCATAAAAATGAAACAATTAAAGATAAACTCAAGAGTTTAGGTCCCAATATGCCAACAGTGATACTTTAGCCTCCCGGTAGCGTGGTCATTGTTTAACTTGAAGGCTCTAAGTAGCTGCTATATTATGCATTTGGCTTGCCACCACTTGAAAATAAATTTGGTGCTAGGGCCACATCGAAAGATTATACTTAATGGCATAGTAATGCATTGTTATGATAAGTAAAATAGAAATGCATTTTATTACCAAGGAAGAACCATGAGTAAGGGGAATGTAGGTTTCTTCCCCATTTTCATTGACTTACTGGGATGAGGAAGAATGCATTTTGCTGTATGAAGTTGACTAGCTTGAGCTAAAGATCCTCGTGTCTATTGAGTTCATCATGAATGTTCAATATGCCAATGTGTTTTAGAAAGATTTAAATCTTTCAAAAGAAACTTCTTCAGTGATTTTTCATTGAGGAAAGGGAAAAAACATTGAATTATAATCTACTGCATTAATGATCATCTTTATTATGATCAAAGTCATGTATGTTTAAAAGAAGAGAGTAAGTGTAAAAAGAAGAGAAGAAAAAAATAAAGGAAATCTTATTTGGCAAAGAATTGGAAGGAAAAGTTATTCAAGCATCTAGCCCCATGGTTTTAACCATAGTTATTAAAATCGGACCAGAACGGACCAGAACAAACAGTCTAGTCTAGCTTGAAACCGACGAACCGGATAGTGGTTTGGTCCGGTTGACATTAATTGGTCCATTATCAAAGGACCGATCAAGAACCACTCAAATTGACTAATACCGTTCGAATCGGACCAGTCGAGTAAAAATCAGATCTGGTTCGATCTAAACCATTTGTTACCAAATTGGTTTAAAGCAAAATTTAGTATCATATTTGCACTAGGAGAGAGTTTAAGAGATCGAAGCGTGGAGTGTGGTGTAGTCGGTTGGTGGCCTAAAACTTTTTAATTCCTATTCCTAAAATATTATCTTATTCCTAAAAATCATAAGTTACTTCTTAAACTGAAATCAAACCAACTTTATTTTTTCCAATAATTAAAGTAACACAAGTTAGAAATTTTTTTTCCCTTTCTTAAAATTTTTATCATAAAAAAGTTCTTCCAAGGTAATGTTCAGTGTGTGCTAACAACGGGTGCTAATTACTATTTACGGCTTGTAAGGTAAAGTCTATTTATGTTCAAATCTCTAGTGTAGTAGCTGCTTCCTCTACAACTACATCATAAGAAGGCAAAAAACAAAGTCTTGAACTATCGGAATTGTTCATTGTGCTCAAACAATCACTTGAGCACGGGTACTATTCACTGCTTGTAAACAGTACCGTAATAGTAAAAGTTTTCAAAAAAATTCAAAAATAAATTATTTATAGAATTGTAAATGTCGTGATATCATATGCCACCAAAAAAAAGGGTATTTCCTAATAATATTGAGAAAATGAGTTTAAAGTCAACCATCCTTAATAAGAATAAAAATAAAACTTTTGTCATTTCCAAAATTCTAATGTAATTTTGCTAAAACAATACTTAAATGAAATAACGAGTTTTTGGACAATCTTATTTCAAAGGATTTACTAATTAAAATCTCCACACAATTGGTCACTTCCCGAACTTTGATGTCAATCATAGTTGCCTGAAATGGGATACGTAAAGTGAGATAATTAAATCTCAATACGTGTGTACCATAAATTGTAAAGCGCATAAAATTTCGAAAATGAATCATATCATACATAAAGGAGACAAGAACATATCACACATAAAGGAGACAAGAAAAATACTGAACTTAGGTGGTAAAATTTCTTGTGCATAACGCTACTAAACTCCAATTCCTTATCATAAACTTATTCATATAAGTCCTGTAAAACTTATTCCGAAATGTAATTACACAATGGACTTTACGTAATGCACCTTGAATTTTGAAAGAAAAGGTGTAGAAATTAGACTTTTAGATGATATCTTTAAAGAAACTTGAAAGCTTTTCCCCTCTTTTCTTTTTTCTTCTATGTAGCTAACTGCCAAAAATTGAATTTGGTGTATGGCCGTGAGTACGTGTGTGGTGGTATGTGTTGTGTGTTTATTGTGCTTGTTGTTGTGTGTATTTTTAGGTGGGGAATGGAGGGACTAGTAAGGTAGTGTTTTATTTGAGAATATTTCCATATAATAAAGTATGTAATTTCCTCTATTTACATAATCTATCAATATATTGGCTTGTGTCTATATGTGTATAGAGCACTAATTGCCACTGTATATATTATAAGATACTTAAACGTTGCCATGTTTATGAAAAATGAATATTAACTTCCTCGAGAGATTATATTTACTTAAACTTATAAAGTTCTATTTGACTTAATAATTAAACCATATATTCCTATATTCCATTTAATATACATGATTATATAAATATATAATCACACATGCATAATGTATGCAATTTCCGTTTTTAAAATAGGAATTCTTGTAAATATCATAATTGAGTTAATTAAGTTAAATGATATAATCCAGTCACTCAATTTTTCCTTTCATTTCTGAATGACATTTGACCACCTATCGACTTCTTCTAAAATTCCCTTTATTTGACCGAAACATTGTTCACAGTCTAGAAAAAACAATTTTTTTTAAAATTTTGCAATTAGTCCTTTGAAAATTAAAAGCTTTTCATTTTGGTCCCCGAACTTTCAATTTTTTTACGGCATGTCCCAAATTCAAAAATAACCATCGACAAAGGGAATTTGGTCTGTTATAGTATTATTGATAGCTGAATCACTTAGATAAATCAAATAATGATAATACTATGCGTATGCAATAAGTCATCGTAATTGGTTCAGCTTAAAAAAGTTAATTAAAATCTAAGTCAAAATCAACAATTAATTTTAATTACACATTTCATGAGATTCACAACTTTTCAATAACACATTTTATTAATTTTTATCAAAATCTATTAAAAATCTAATTTTTTTTCTTAAGAAAGTGTAAAGGATAAAAGAATTAACAAAAAATTGATTAGTTATTGATTCGAAGAGGGGAGTCAAACTAGATATACGTATTTGAATGGTTATAAGCCAACTCTTGTAGATTTTTGATTATTGATTCTCTAATCCTTGAATATAAATCTTAGAACAAATGAATGTATAAAAGGAGAATGAAGATGTTAAAAGGAAATTTTGCGAGGGAAAGAGGAAAATGTTCAAGTGAGGATCCATATTGGATGTGGTGGGTAGTGGTTTTATTTGTGGTTTACGAGTGATTCATGTGTTTAACGTCTCACAAATTCGATGTGTGTTATTTACATGCTCTTATTTGGTATAGCTAAAAATCAAATTTTTAGAGATTTTGATAAAAATTGATAAAATATGTGGTTGAAGAGTTGTGGATTCCATAAATGTGCGAGTAATATTAATAGTTGATTTTGACTTATATTGTTATCAAGATTTTAATCCATACCAAACACGGGTTATATACATCAAAATTATATTACACAACACATATAAGATAATGATTTCTATTATTAAGATTTACCATTAATCATATTCTAATTTGTAATTTATTCGAATGCAGGTTGAAAGATATTTTATAATATTTCCTTTATAATTCATGATGTTATTATTGTACGCAGCAAAATTTTATTGGAAACAACGCTATTTTGTTGTTGGCGGTTATGTTGTCAGTTTTTATTTAAGCTCCCCAATACATTAGTGGCAATCCGAGTTTCATGATCAGAGTTATGAAAGTATTATCTCATTAAACAATCCATTTGAATCTCGTCCTTTGTCCCAAAAAATAGAATTTTTTGGTCATTTGGATTACCCTATCTCTTCTCTCCTCATATGTCACATTTTCTACCCTCATCCATCAGGTTGACCAGCCATAACCTCCGCTTGTAGTCCCTAGTAGTATGGAAGCAACGGTGGTGGTTGTTGGTTGTAATTGCGAACACATGTTATTCTAATTACGATGTGGATCTTGTGAGGGGGCAGGTGTTAACGGTAGTAGACAATCTTTGAAGAAAAGGTTGTTATGTTACCGAATGGTGCTTTATGTGTAAGAGAAATAGGGAGTCGATTGACTACTTGTTCATTCATTGTGATGGTGTTCGTTGGCTGTGGAACGATATTCTGGCTTCTCAATATATGGATTGGGTGTTGCCAAGGCGTATAGAGGACGTGTTGCAGATATGTAGGAAAAAGCTTCAAGATAAGAATAGCAAACTTGTTTGGATCTTATTCCATGATGTATTGTATGGTGTGTGGAGAAAAGGAACGGCCGCTGTTTTGAAGATTAAACACGGAAGACAGAGCAGTTTAGAGAATTATTTTATCTGATCCTGTATAATTAGTTTATGCTGCGACTACTAATCTGACTTACGAGCTGCCTAATTTCATGTTATTTCTATCTTGTATAAATCGATAATGCATTTCTTGTGTATTATTTTTTGATTAATAAAATTATGTGATTACGTACCAAAAAAATATTCCAACTCCATCATATGATAGGGGTTGAATAATGCTGATGTTTTCTTTGTCATGTTATCTAGCATAAAATTGTAATACTTTTGGTTAAATCTTTATAATTCGTGACTTTTTGTGTAGCCGGCTATGCTAGAATTTTAACCCTTGCATTTTTATTTTAACCTATGATTTTTTCTATTTAGACTTGAGGCTTAATTGTTTAATGGATTTTCTAGGACTTGAGGGGTTCGGACAAAAATGTTAACATATAGGGAATTAAAATGAGAAAATCAAAGGGATGA